TTTTTTACCTCTCACCTTCTTGGTCCTCCTTGACCCTCACCCTCGAGCATAAGGTCAACAAAGGTGGAGGAGGACCTTAAGGGGTCTTGGAAGTACGAGTCATGTTATGGTGGAGACAAAAGACGATCGGATCTTAACTACTTGGCCTTGAGAGAGAGAGAGAGAGAGAGAGAGAGAGAGAGACGTTCCCCATAGATGGTCAGGTGAGTGTTGATTTTAGGAGGGCGGGACAGGTGACTAAGCGACCCGGTCAGCTACCGTACCACCTTCCTCATCCTTCCCCCTCAACCCTGTTACTCCTCCCAGCCCTTTTTTGTCGACTGACTTAGCTCCCTTTCTGCTGTCGCACCTCCAGGCCCTTTGTCGCACCTCCCCCCCTCCCCTCCCCCTTGGTGTTACAACTTGAGGCCCACTTGTCGCACTTCTGGTCCTTCTATCAGACCTCCAAATCTCCTATCACACCTCCAACCATCCTATCACACCTCCAACCCTCCCATCACACCTCCAAACCTCCTATCACACCTCCAAACCTCCTATCACACCTCCAACCATCCTACCACACCTCCAACCATCCTATCACACCTCCAACCATCCTATCACACCTCCAACCCTCCTATCACACCTCCAACCATCCTATCACACCTCCAACCCTCCTATCACACCTCCAACCCTCCTATCACACCTCCAACCCTCCTATCACACCTCCAACCATCCTATCACACCTCCAACCCTCCCATCACACCTCCAACCCTCCTATCACACCTCCAACCATCCTATCACACCTCCAAACCTCCTACAAGCTGCGGCACCGGGTTTCTGCTGACCTAGGGTGCTATTGTTCTACCTCTAATGGCTGGGTAAAAATATCAGTGCCACTTAGGCCTCCAAAGCCGTATGTCTAACCGTGAAAAATTTCTTGTTTTTTTTATTTATTTTTTCTCAAGAGTTCTTCATTATTTTATCCTCTAAAAAGATCCCAACTGGCCCTAACTTAATCTAATATGAAAATTTGGGGTCTATTTTTGATACTTCCTAACCTAACCTAACCTAACCTAACAACCTACCGAATCTAACCTAACCTAACCAAAAAAAAAAACGTAACCTAACCAAAACATCATCTAAAAATTACAATTGGGGTCCAGTCTCAATAGGCTCCATACATACAGCCACCATGAGGATTGTGGGCCCCCAGTCCTAGCATAGGCCTCACCTACAATCAATCCTAATCACAAATCTCCATACAATCAGATTAGGATACAATGAAACCCTAATCAAGAATGGATAGTCGGATTAAGTTACATTGGAGCTTATTAAGATTGGATCCTATTCAAATAATGGGTCCTATTGAAGACTGGTGCCTATTAGGGATAAGAAATAATTTGACCTATGACCTTTTACAGTAAGGGTCTTGATTATACATAGGATCACCTGAAGATTAATCACCCTAACACTACTTTTTGGGGGGATGAGGTTAGGTTAGGTTAGGTTAGGTTAGGTTTAGGTTAGGTTAGGTTAGGTTAGGTTAGGTTTAGGTTAGGTTAGGTTAGGTTTAGGTTAGGTTGATTGGAATTGGGTTAGAGTTGGAACCCAGGTTGGAACTGGAGTTGGAGTTAGTTGGCCTCATACTCCCCCCTTCTTCCTCATTTTATCATCTTTCTCATCTTCTGCTTTCTCTTCCCTCTATCTTCCTCCTCTTTATCCTCCCTCCTGTCTCACCTTCCTCATCCTTCCCCTCCCTCCTCTATCACTCCCTTCATCCCCCCACTTCCTCTCTCTCTCTCTCTCTCCTCTCTCTCTCCTTCCTGTCTCGTTCTCCGTAAGACAATAGGTAGGGAGGGAAGGAAGAAAATGGGGAAGGAGAATGGAAGCAGGGAGGAGAAGAATCAGGGGAGGAAAGTACAGGAGGGATGGAGGAAAAGAAGGAATTAGGAGGAAGGAAGATAGAGAGATACTAACATTTATCACGTATAGGAAATGAAATTGAAGAGGAAATAACTTTGCTTTGACACACACACACACACACACATTCTCTCATTACCTAAGATTTCCTTCTCTGGGCTTTCCTTCACACGCTTTCACCATTACCGCCATCACCACTATCACCATCATCTCTCACATTCCAGTCCTACCTCTTTAGCAGGCCCCCCCTCGTGACGGTGGAGTCTTAAAATCTCCGTTTGTCTGTAACAACGTGACAGTCATGGCGTTACCACGAGTGTTGTCATGAACCGCAGTACAGTTTACGCTTCAGTTACTGTGGGTGTGTGTGTGTGTGTGTGTGTGTGTGTGTGTGTCACCCTTTCCACCCATTGACCTGAATAACACTAATAATAATAATAATAATAATAATAATAATAATAATAATAATAATAATAACAAAATCACAAGCTACAAGGCCCATTAACTCCTAAGATTCTGCTTAAGTTAAAATTCTCTCATAACTGAACTGTAAAAAAATCCTCTTAACTATCTCCCTTAGAGACATTCAAAATAGATTCATCAAAACTCGTAAAGCACATTCTCCCTTACCTGTACATACCTTAATTAAACACATAGATTATAGCTTAAATCATCAATATTAACTTGTATGAAACGTAAAAAAAAAATGTAATATTAATGTAAGTATCTTTGAGAATTCGTAACTAAAAACCTTGATGGGATAAGATAAGAACAGTGAAAGAAATACCACTGTTTCCCTCAAGGTTCAATATTTAGCGGGATACCTTGTCGTGGGGTTCCGCAGGGTGAAGGACCCACACTGTTTGTATTGAGCCAAATTTGGAGGGGGGTCAGAGATGCTGAGAATGGAAAGGGAAGGAGGAGGGGGAGGAAGAAGAAGTGGAGGTCTAAGGGGAGGGTGTCAAGGAGAGGATGGAAAGGGGGATAGCTAAAGGGGTCGAAGGGAGTAAGGGAGGAAAGGAACGTCGAATGAAGTAAGAGAGTTATGGCGTCGTGTGTTTAGGCATAGAACAATATGCTAAACAAGGGAGGAGATAAATTGCAGACGAAGAGATAGACGTGGAAGGAGAGACAGTTGAGACACCCACCACCCACCTCCTCCCCCACCTACCGAACCCACCCACCCACCCTACCCACCCACCACAAGCCAGGCACCAGACATAGGCCACACAGGAATCAGACATGAACCAGACGTGGACTAATCATGCCCCAGATAAAGCTTAGACATAGGATAAACGTGAAACAAACGTGGGGTAGACATGACTTAAACAGGCTAGACATGAATCAGGCATAGGGTAGACCTCACTTAAGACACCTAGATAAGAACCAGACCGAAAACAGACCAAACCTAGATTCAGATCAGCCATAAAACATATAGACACCTGCAAAACAGCCATACATCAGCCATAGACTACACAATAGGCCAAAACAATAGGTCTATCACCACAAATATGGAATAAGAAAGCACAAAAAAAATATATAAATAATTCAGAACTGACACACACACACACACACACACACACACACACACACAGAGAGTCGTGACCCAAAACACCTCATTACAGTCAACCATAGTGAGAGACAGGCAATTGTAAGCCTCATAACCACTCATAAAGTAGGAGGAAGAGGAGGAGGAGGAGGAGGAAGAGGAGGAGGAGGAGGAAGAAGAGGAAGAGGAGGAGGAAGAGGAGGAGGAGTTGAAAGTAGTTCCCACAAGGTATCATTCCCATGCCCAGGTGTCAAGGAACAGATTGATGAGTGTGACTTGAACAATGGGCCCCGAATCCTAACGGCCCCCAGTCCTAATAGGCCTCAGTCCTTATGGGCCCCGGAAATAATTGGCAAAAATTCCTTATAACCTTCATAATCTAATTGGTCTTCAGCCCCATTAGGACCCCACCCTTTCCTGACCATAAAAACTGGGCCCAATTACAACTAGCTCCGGTTATAACTAGCCCCATTATAACTAGCCCTCTTTATAACTAGCCCCCGTTATAACTAGCCCTAATTACAACTAGCTTCCAATATAAATAGTCCCCATTATAACTAGCCACCATTATAACTAGACCTCATTATAACTAGCCCCCATTATAAATATCCCCCATTATAACTAGCCACCCATTATAACTAGCCACCCATTATAACTAGCCACCCATTATAACTAACCCCCCATTATAACTAGCCACCCATTATAACTAACCCCCCATTATAACTAGCCACCCATTATACCTCAAACCCACTAAGGCCAAATACATATGAAAAACCAATAATTCATTAAACAAAGACAAAAAGAAAAATCCAAACAAGTAAAATAAACAAATAAAAACACAAAGACATACAAGGAGACACTAAGCCTCCAGGTATACGATTCATTCATCTTCCCATACCTGTGATTTGAAGCAATTAACACCTGGGTCCTTGATTACAGGTGTGTGGGAGGGTCATGCGAGAGAGAGAGAGAGAGAGATAATGATATAAGATTAGAGACAGATGGGAAAGACAGACAGAGAGAGAGAGCGAGAGAGAGAGGTAGATAAGGTCAAGCGTATCTCAACACCTGACCTGTTACCTGTTTGACCTTTCCGTGACCTGACTAGATGGTTACGGAGGGAGGGAGAAGAAAGTGAAAGTGAAGGGGATATAAAGAGTGAAAGGGGAATTAGAAAATGGTGCGAGAGGTTGTGGTTGTTTGTGTGAGGTCGTGATTGTTTGTGTGAGGTCGTGATTGTTTGTGTGAGGTCGTGATTGTTTGTGTGAGGTCGTGATTGTTTGTGTGAGGTCGTGATTGTTTGTGTGAGGTCGTGGTTGTTTGTGTGAGGTCGTGATTGTTTGCGTGAGGTCGTGTTTGTTTGTGTGAGGTCGTGATTGTTTGTGTGAGGTCGTGATCGTTTGTGTGAGGCCGTGATCGTTTGCGTGAGGCCGTGGTTGTGTGTTTGAGCTCGTAGTTATCACCAACACCACTCCGACAACCACAATCACTCCCACAACCACAATCACTACCACAACCACTACTTCCACCATCATCACCACCAAGTACTCACCCGTATATCAAGTGCAGAGACAGCATTATCGAACTCGTGATCTGGACACCACATGAGATAGTCTCTCCCCTCCGCCGCCAGCTGCAGGGCCGACATGTTCTGTACGAGAAGAGAAGAACAAGGTCATTAATACCTCCTGTGGCTGGGGTCAATGCACCTACAGGTCACGTTAGGTCACAGGTCAAATGGGTCCCAGATACAAATGCCCTTCTACCCACCTAACAACCCCCCCCCCCACCCCTCAACCTGATCTATGAGTAATTTGACCTCTATGATTGGGGTCTATAAGGACTGGGGTCTATTAGAACTGGGGTCTATTAGAACTGGGGTCTATTTGGGCTGGGGTCTATTAGAACTGGGGTCTATTTGGGCTGGGGTCTATTAGGGCTGGGGTCTATTAGAACTGGGGTCTATTAGAACTGGGGTCTATTTGGGCTGGGGTCTATTAGAACTGGGGTCTATTAGGGCTGGGGTCTATTAGAACTGGGGTCTATTAGGGCTGGGGTCTGTGGGGCTGGGGTCTGTGGGGCTGGTCCTGTGGGAGCACAGGTCCTATTTGGACTGGGGTCTGTGGGGCAGAGACCTGTGGGAGCCAAGTGTATCACAACACAAGTCCTAATAGCACTGGGGTCCTAGCTTGCTGGGGTCCTGTACTGGGGTCTAATAGCACTGGGGCCTGTTAGGGCTGGGGTCTACAATGGGAACTGGGGTCTGTTGGGATGGGGTCTATTAGAACTGGGGTCTATTAGAATTGGGGTGTATCACAACTGGGGTCTACTAGCACTGGGGTCTACTAGCACTGGGGTCTAATAGCACTGGGGTCTATTAGCCCTGGGGGTCTAATTAGGATTGGGGTCAACTAGCACTGGGGTCCATTACCAATGAGGTCTATTAGCAATGGGGTCTATTAGAACTGAGGTCAATTAGCACTGACCCACACCTGTCCTGTTACCTGTTCATGATGACCTAATTAACACAAACCATTAAGAACTGTATTAATAAAAGGTAAATAAATTACATCATATACACAAATAAACTAATTAAGGTGATTATGGGTAAGAACAAACTAATTACAATCATTTATTAACCATTTCAATTTGGGTTGATTCTAGATTTGTTTTCATTAATAAAAAAAAATAAATTATGGGGTCTATATTTTGCTAAGTGTTTATTTGGGGTTAAAAGTTATACAGAATTAACGAGAGAATAAATATTTTTATTTTTTTAGTTTCTGTAGTTATAAACAGACAAACATATTAATACGTAACTATTTATTACAATCTTCTGTCTGTCTGTTTGCCTCTCTCTCTCTCTCTCTCTCTCTCTCTCTCTCTCTCTCTCTCTCTCTCTCTCTCTCAATCAATCCATCAACATAACTCTCCATTTATCTCCATCAACCTGTCCCTCTCTCTGCACGTCACTCCATCATCTTATCCACTTGTCTACTTGTGTTTCAATGTCTTCCAATCGAATCAATTTATCTTCAATCTTGTACCATCACCACCACTCTCTTCCCCGTACCTTCACACCCTCCCTTACACCCCTCCCTTACACCCTCCCTTACACCCTCTTAGCACCCCTCACACTCTTACACAACCTCCCTCACCCCCACCCCCCCACACACACTCTTAACCTGTGGTCAAGTCAAGCCACCAGGTAAGACTACTGTTAATGATGACCAGGTATATTGGCGATTTAAAGTGCTCTCTTAAACACAGCCCTTTGAAAATTCCTAAAATACATCCCCTCTCTCCCTTCAAAAGTAGCAATACTCCCTAAAACCACCTCCCATTTCTCCCTTAAAACACCTTCTCTCCCTCCTTATGGTCAAAACATCACCAAGAACTTTTTCCAACCTCCAAAAAAAAAACACGAAATACTTGACCAATAACCACTTAACTAACTTAAAACTCTCTTGATTTTAAAACATCCCCTTAACAAGCCCACAAGACCATCCAAATTACACCCAGGTAAGGCAAGACAGGTATTGCTCACCTTGTATTTTCTTTTTTTAACAAGGTGGTTGGTTAATTGTTTTTTTTTCCTCCAGGTAATAAGAGACGCAGTGACCTTGGCGTGTTACAAGTGTCTCGTTTCACACTCCACGCCGTCACTAGAGGGCCTCCTGCAACCTGACCACCGTCCCTCGAGGCTTGGGAAGGAAACTCACTAACGAACTGACTTGTGAAATAGACACCATTCCTATTAGGCCCTTAGTTTTAATGGGATTCATAGCCTAAATGAGTTGATGTATTAATAGATGTTTGTTCTAATGGGTCTGAGAAATAATAGGTGCCAGATTCTAATAGGCCCTGGTTCTATTGGGTTTATATCATACTTAATGGGTTCTTAGTCTTTTAATAGGGTCCCCAGTTCTAATGGACATAAGGACCTCAGTTTTAATGGTTGTCAGGTCCTAATAGGGGCGGCAAGTCTAATCTCACCATTATTGTTGAAGCTAAGGCACTCTGGGGCCCCTAAACCAGGTTGAGGCCAAAGA